ACAACACAGATATTAAAAGATGAAAAAACTGGAAAAAGAGGTTAGAGAGATGTAGGATATAATCATGTGCTGCATAAAAAATGTTCTGTTCAATGATAGACTGCATAAACAACGGTGGTCCCATAAGACTGTAATGAAACTGAAAAATTCCCATTGCCTGGTGACACGGTCGCTGTCATAAAGCTGCAGTGCACACTTTATTCACGTGTTTGTAGTGATGCTGGCGCAAACAAACTTACTGCACTGCCAGTCATATAAAAGTGTGGCACCTACAATTATGTACAGTATGCCAAAAATAATAAGCAACTATGTTACTGGTTTATATATTTACTATGCTATACCTTTTATCATTATTTTAGAGTGTACTCCTTTTACTTATATAAAGAAGTTAACTGTAAAACAGCCTCAGGAATGTCCTTCGGGAGGTATTCCAGAAGAAGATATTGTTATCATAGGAGAGAACAGCTTCATGTATGTTATTGCTCCTGAAAACCTTCCGGTGGGTCAAGATGTGGAGGAGGAAGACAGTGATATTGATGATCCTGCCTTGTGTAGACCTAGGCTATGTGTGTGTTTGTGTCTTAATTTTCAACAAAAGTTTAAAAAGTAAAAAAATTTTTTAAATAGAAAAAAGCCTATACAATGAAGACATAAAGAAAAAATACTTTTGTACAGCTGTACAATGTGTGTTTTAAGCTAAGAGGCTAAGGGTTATTACAAAGAATTTAAAAGTTTTAATAAATTGTAAGTTTATAAAGTAAAAAATTTATAGTAAGCTAAGGTTAATTATTAAAGAAAAATATTTTTAATAAATTTAGTGTAGCCTAAGTATATAGTGTTTATAAAGTCTACAGTAGTGTAGAGTAACATCCTAGGCCTTCATATTCACTCATCACTGACTGACTGACTGACCCAGAACAACTTCCAGTCTTGCAAGCTCCATTCAGGGCAAGGGCCCTATACATATGTTTCATTTTTAATCTTTTATGCCATATTTTTTACTGTATCTTTTCTACATTTAGATATACAAATATTTACCATTGTGTTCCAACTGCCTACGGTATTCAGCACAGCAAGATGCTGTAGCCCAGGAGCAACAGGTTATATACTACATAACCTAGGAGTGTACCAGGCTATACCATCTACTTTTGCATAAGTACAGTCCATGATGTTCGCACAATGACAAAGTCACCTAATGACACATTTCTCAGAATGTATTTCTGTCATTAAGCAATGTATGACTATATCGAAAAGCACCAACGTTGATCAGACAGGGGACCCTGAATGATAGAATAGAGAAAATGGAGAAGTAGAAAGACTGAAAGAAATAACAGCTGAGGATTTCCCAGAATTGATGAAAAGCATGATTCTTCAAATTCTAGAAGCAACTTAAACCCAAGAAAGATAATTGTAGTAGACACATTGAAGTGAAATACAGAACACCAAAATCAAAGAGAAGATTGTAAATACAAACAGTGAGAAAAAGCATCCTCCTACAAAGGAGCAACCCAGACTCTTCAGTAAAGAAGCCAGAAGACAATAAAACAATATCTTCAAAATGCTGAGAGAAAACTGTCAATCTAGAATTCTATATTCAGCTAAACCATTGATAAGAGAATATAATAGACATTTTTAGACAAATAAAACCTGAGATCATTTTACCACTAGTAGACTCTAATGAAAAAAAACTAAAGGATATTCTTCCCAAAGGAAGGAGATGCAGAAAGCAGTAGTAAGCAAAAAATTTGTTTGTGAATAAATTGAAATAAATATTGACAGTACTTAAAAAAAAGATGACTACTTGGAGGGTATAAAACAAAATTAACAAAAATACTATACAAAAATTATATGTAAAATGGGCAAGGTATGGTAAAATTAAAGTGTTCTAAGATCCTTGAATTGTTTTAGAGGAGGATAAAGACAGTGATTAATTTTAGACTTTATTAATTTCAGTATGCATGTTAAAATTATAAGGGTAAAAATAGAAATAGAATATATAATTTCCAAATCAATAGAGGGAAATAAAACGTAAAACATTATTACTACCTACATTTTACAGAACATGAAAACAAGGCTTATTAAAACTGACATGACAAAGTTTACTCAACTAGTAACTAGTAGAATGTGACAAATTCATGTCTTTCAACTCCCAAGTTCTGTGATTTTTTTTCCTTCTATGTCATATAGCCTCTCATCTAGGTGATACACTAAAATAACAGTGTGTTACCCTGATGTCCAATTCAATAAGGCAAAAATCTCACACAGCTGCAAGAATATTATTATATTAAATAGTACTTTGTGGTAAAAGTGCCGTGAATTTAGCTAGCAATCTGTTATTCCTCATTTCCATTTCATTCTTACCTACCCTCTTCACTCACTAATTCTTACATTTTCCATATAATTCTTCTCCTAGATTCTATTTTTTGCTATTGTTTCTCTCTTCCTCTTTCCCATTTTTCATTATTTAAATTTTGTATGTAAACATATTTGTAAACATGTATATAATTCTATTTATGTATCATACATGTTCACTTAATTTAAATCTCAATGTGTGTGCTATAGAGAGTGGTAGATTCTAAACGCAGTTTTTATTGGGATACAGTTTGTTTGAAAGATTTCACAAGTTACCAGACAATAGTACCCAGGTCTGTTTGATTCTGTTGTAGTATTCTCACTGAAGCAAGTATGTAATGTCAAAAAAGCTGAGAACTATCTGTGGTAACAATCTAGCCTCCAAATCCTAGCAATGGGATATGGTCCCCTGGCAAGTTGATGCTAACGTCAAAGATTTTATCTCTACACTATGGTGGTGATTCCCTTTCTCCTTGCCAAGACCATTTAAATTGGTTTCTAACTGTGTACTATTCTATCTTGAAGCCATGCAATGAAATCTTCAGGGTGTGCCCAAGACAGGAGTTCAAACTCTTGGACTATTTAATCACACAAAATCACTGTTACTGACATCCCTACTCCCACATCTAGTCTGTCTACAGATATTTCTACAGTATTTCATGGGGCAATAAAACTGCAGGGTATTTGTATACAATATCATTTAAGTCCCTTGAAATCAACTCTTAGTGTCCTAGAACACATCTTGGCGGACATATTAAAACAATATAAAATCAAGTTCAAAGCAACTTTAACATAATGCCAGCTGATTATATTCTGCCATTGGCATTATCAATCCAAAGATCTAGATTGTAAATGTACCCTTGAATAAAGCCATATGATATTTCTATTATAAAGAAATAAATAGTATTTCATACTTTGAAATAAATCAATAGGACTATGGTATTACAGGCAATTCTTGTATCTGGAGGCACAGAAACCTTGAATAATTAAAACCTAAACCAATTCAGGCAATTGCTTCTCTAACCAAAAAATAAAACAAAGTAACCATAGACGTAAAAATCAAATACATCTTAAAAAATGACATGGATTTGCTTCTCTTATTTATCTCTATTGATCCCTGAAAGTAAATGTCTCCATTGTTCTCCTTCTCGTACCCTGCTTTGATTCCTCAAAAGAGTACCTAGAAAAGGATAAAAAGTTTATAGGCCTTGATAATCCCAAAACAGAATAATCCAACTCTGAATAACCAAATCTGTGTCCTGTTTTATAACCATTTACTGCTAGTTGAATGACAGCATTACTAAGAATTTAAAAGTCTACCAAGCTCAAATAGAATTTCCTTTTTTACAAGCACATGGAAATATGGTGCTTATTAACAACAATAAAAAAACCCACTTAATTGAGCAGCTGAAGATTTCTGAAGGAGTACTCTTTGTAGTAGTAAAAACATAATAAAAATAATGGATGGTACTTTAGCAGACAGGGGCAATAGGTTAGGAGAACATGGATAAATAGAGAATTCCAGGTAAAGGATTAACAGGCAGAACAGTCAACTGTGTGGTCTCAGAAAATGGTACTGTTAAATTAGAGATATAATTTTATGATTTCATGGAGACAGATCTGGGCTATGTAAGAGGTGAAGCCCTTAATCTCACAGTAAAAAGTACACAGCTCTGCCAGCTAATTTACAAAGCATAGTTATTAATGCCAGAGTCAGGGTGGTGGAAGTAATAACAAACATCCAGCAGTACACTCTGGTATCCTGAATAAGATTATAAGATAATAAATAAAATGATGAAGCTATTTTCCTTAGCATTGTTCAGGGGGAGGTCCTCTAGAATGGGATTATTCTGGATTATAAAATCATTTAAGTGTCAACAGATACAGATTACCAGCTTTCTAGGCTTAGAGACCTCTCCAGAAAACATCAGAAGAGCCTAAGAATAAAAAACTGAAAAGTCAGCTTGAGTCATAATTCTGTACCCTTTCCTTCTTCTCCCCAAAAGAGGCTACTCTCTCCCCAACTCCCTGTAGAATCCTCTGTTCTTCCTCCTGTTTTTCATCCCATGCTCCTCTATTTTGCTTCAAAATGGTCTTGAAACATTCTTTCCTCCAGAGTGTCTTACATGGTGTGCAACACAGAAGCCCAGGCAACAACATGGGGCCTGCACAACAGAGAGTCAGTCAACATCCTTTCCTGCTCTTTAAACAGGTCAACAGCCTAGTATGCTCACCAGCTTATGTCTGCAGGAAGCTCAGAGAATGACACTGGTCAATGTCTCCGCTCCCAATCACTTCAATGATTGATCACAAGTCCACTCTCAGGGTTCTCTTTTAAATCACTCACAACCAAACCAAAAAGGTATAAATTAGAAAAAAAAGATGAGATGTTCTTTATTGGAAGAACAAGTAGTTGGCAGCAAACAGAAAAAAAAGCAAACCAAATAAAATAGATAAAACTGAAAACCCACAAATCAAATTATAAAACAATATTCTGTTGGCACTTAAATAAAGTAAACCCATGCCAACAATTTAACTGCTGCCTTTTTGCCTGTAGTCCCAGATTTCTCTTGTTTGGGACTAGACAGAGTTTTTATTTCTCTGTGTACTCAGAGCTTCACACTGAACCAACATTATTTACTACTTACTTGTGCTTGCTTGCATACTTTAAAAGGCTGAAGTGTTTCCTGGTAGAAAAGCTGATGATAAGCTTGTAGGTCAAACCAGAAGTACACACTGTTCTTCCACAACTGCAGATGGAAAAAGTACATAAATTATTACCACCTAATTATTAAAGCTCTACAAGGCTCTAATTTCAAATACAAATAATTGTTTAGCTCCTTGCTGTTACCATAAATCAGGCTCAATTTAAGATGGTTTTAATCTTCTACCACAAACAGGCAATATACAAAATATTTATTGGTATTGTTGCTAGAACATTATATTTTTGCATGTATACCTCTCACATAATTGGCCATTAAAGTAGTAAGCATTCTATTAATAGTTAATGGTTAAAGAGTAACCATATATTTCTGGTATAAAAACAAAATCTGAAGGTATCTTGACATATGTGGGAAAATGTGTATCACAGCAAACCAAACATTTTTCTAATAATTGGGCCAGTTAAATACTTTACATTCGAGCAAAATAAACACTTTTTGTGATTAAAAAAGAACATCTGATAGGAGGCTGAGGTGGGAGGATCACTTGAGCCCAGAAGTTCGAGGTTACAGTGAACTACGATCATCGTGTCACTGAGCTCCAGCAGCCTGCATGGGTGACAGAGTGAGACTCCATTTCTTTAAAGAAAAAAAATTGAAAAACAGGAAATAATTTTGCTACTATGCATTGTAACTTGTAATTGTTAGAATTATTAAAAAAATTAAAGGATTGATAGCAATCAACTCTGAATCTAAAATATATTATACTGAAATAAAATATGAAAATAAACTATTGTTAGACATGCAAGTCAATCTTTGTCTATCTCTATTTTACTTTTCTTTGTAATTTTAGTAGGATAGTGAACCAAAGAGAATTATAATTCAGATGTTTAAATTTTTACTAAATATTAGGTATAAATTTTCTTACCAGAGATGGGAATTTTAACATCAAATATAATTTTTGGAGTACTAAATTATTTCAACACCTCTTATTTTTAAGTGAAGTAAAATTTTAAAATTAGATTTTAAATAATTATTTTTTTACCTTGTTCCCTGAACGCTCACAGAATTTAGTAAAGAAGAATCCAGCTCTATTTTCTACATACAAAGATTGTAACAAGTTTTCCATGTCAAATCCTACCAAAGTTCCAACATCTAACATGGTTTTAACCTAGATAACAAAACAGAAGTTCATTATCGACCCAAACACATTGTGATTTTTTATGGCATTGCATAAGAGGGTTTCATAAATTCTGCCAGGCTGTCATTTTCCCACTAGACTATTTTATTTTTGTATCATATATGTAATTAATTCAGTATCTTTGCATCTGTCATATAAGATTCATTTATGGAGCCCAACTATAGCAGCCGAATTCATTCTATTATTAACCAATCTGATTTCAAACGTAAAGTAGAAGCAACTTCCCAACCTCAATTATTTTCATAATTTTAGGAGTCTTCCAAATCTTTGTTGGTGGCCTCTTTCCTACATATTTACTGTTATTTTAGCCTTGAGGTGCTGCTATTATAGCTACAAGAGGGTTATAAAAAGAACTATCTTCAAGGCCTCTCAGTGCTGCTCATTAACTATTCTTAGGGGGTCCCTCTTTGGACAGTCTTGCCCTGTACAGGTCATGGCCTGCACAGTGTAAATGGCAGTATAAGTTCTCATAAAACTTTGCTGTTTATGGGCTTCTCTGCCAACAATGCTGGTAACCCTAATACGATTTTTGAAACACAGAAAGCTGGCTATTTTTCCAAGCACAAGAGTGATTCCAGAATATGAAAAGGCATCTACTATTCACTTTAACTCTTTTCTATTTGTTTTGTCTTTGTAATCATAACACAAGTGTGGTATGAATAATTTAGGGTTTAAGTGAGGTTCTTATTCTTTGTCATACTTTCTATCTACTTCCTCTTTATCTGCCTGCTAAACAAATTCTGAGGTGAGAATTTAATGTTTTTATGATGTTTAACTATCAGAATTCCAAACTAAAAAATCATTATTTGGTAGGGAAAAAATTCCAATTAGAAGAAAAGGAAAACTATTGTCTTAGAATAAAATAAACAGTCACACAAAGTTATAGCTACGTTTAGACTGTATTGGGACTGCCAAGGTTTCTACCTAACATATAATCCTTAGGGAATGTGAAATTTTCATCTAAAACTGGTACATTAAATATATGTCATCCAAGTAGCTGCATTCTGGAGATGCCTTGCATTTTAAAATTCCAGACTTCCAAAACATAACATCAAATACTATTTTTTATCAAGTATTAAAAAGTTTATAAAAATACTAGAGGGTCTTATTTTGTGTTTGAGGTATCATCATATGAAAACCAGAACACAGTTATTTTTGAAAATAGTAATCAATGAAGAATACAGCAGCTTGGTACTACAAAAGAAACACGGGAAATTTTTGTATAAAAATCCTTTGGCAAGAAAAAAAATCAAATGTTTTTCTTAGTAAAGAAAAAAATACTATGATAAATCAATAAAAATTTTCTAAAATCAGGGAACATTGATCAGTTAAATGAGAAATCAGCTTATTCAGTCCTCGAAATACTTACCTTGTGTTCTTCTGTGTAAGTGTATCTTTGATCCAGCTGGGGCTTCAGACATTCAGAAATGTCAGTAAAAGATGTTAAATGAATAATTTTGCTTTCTGACATGTGCCTTGACCTAAATGATAGGGATGAGAACTAATTGATAAACAAATTTTGAGTACTTTTGGTATACATGGCACCAAATCTTAGGAGTGCTTCTGAGCAATGTGAGAGAATCAAAAAAAAAAAAAAAAAAGCATAACATCAGTTCCGCCCTGAAGAAGTGGGTTGAGAGAATGAGGCATAGCTATACAGAAAGACAACTCTCAAAACAACTTCTGGTTGAACAGATTTGAGAGAGTATATTATAGATGCCAAATGACTGGGATGGATAATAAATACTTACGGAAGTGTAAGAATGAGAAATTCCTTCAACCTATATTGAAGAAATGAAATTTTTCCTGAAAAATTAGTAGAGATGTATTTTGTGTATATACCTGAGTGTGTGTATGTGTGTGTTAGAGGCGTTCTTTAGATAGGAAGAATAGTAAGCAATAAATGAAGGTAGGTAGGGAAATCCTTGTTTAAAAGGCAGCAAAGATAAAGAATTTCCTTAGGGCAAGAAGACACTAACAGTTAAGTTAACACGATATACTACATACCAAACACTGTGCTAGATATAATTCATATTATAATATTTAATCCTCAATACGGGTAAGATCCATAGGAAATTACATAGTTTGGGGTGAGATAATGGAAGGCTCTGGAATTAAACTAATGACTTTGGACATTATCTCTTTACATTTTCCTATCTGATTCCCTCTCCCATGCCCCACTGCAATTATTCTAAACCTTATTTTCTAGCTTCATAAAACATGCCCGTTACACCTCACCAATCTACCTCCACCCCAATCTACTCGCAGATTACCTTGCAGGTTCTTCTCACACAAAATGTTGGTACAACATGCTTTAATTTCCACTCCCCCATGTGGTAGACACAGTTAACTGGTTGGCTAACCCAATTCCCAGTTACATATTTCTATACACAGCACCACTGAGATCCTGAAAATAAACGCTCATTTTTCAAGACTTCCTTGCAGACAGAGCTAGCCATGTAATATAGTTGTGACTAATGAGACATAAAATGAAATCTGCTGGGGAACTTCTAAGAAAGCTTGCTTTTCTGACAAAAGGGAGAGGGTTAATGAAAATCATCCTGTCCCCTTCTTTCTGACTTGAAAGCCTGCTGTCAGGAGCTGCAACACCACTGACCATGAGAGAATGGCCAAGAGCAACACAAAGATCCAGGGCCTAATATTTCTGATCCATTGAACCAGTATTGGCAGTTGCCTGCCTTCAAATTTCTTGTTATGTGAGAAAAATAAACTCAATTCACCTAAGCCATTGTTAGTCAGATTTTTTTGTTAGTTGCAGCTGAAAGCATTCTTAAGTGATCAATAAACATATCCACCTGTACCCATCCTTACTTCTTTCCATCTTGTCTCAGGAACAGGTGCCCCACCTGTCCATAGTTAATCACAATACCATGGTTCTTGAACTTTTCTCTCTATTCTCCTTTGAAAATGGAGACCTTCTTTCTTTCTCATATATCTTCAACTTTTCCATTTCCACTGGATTCTACTCTACTCATATCAATAGACTCAAATCTCCTTCACCTTTTTAATACCCTTTCTGATGAAAACAAAAATAGAATGTACCAAAATATATGGGACACAGCTAAAGCAGTGCTTAGAAGGACAATTTTATAGCTGTAAAGGCCTATATTAGAAAAGAATAAGATCTCAAATCAGTACCCTAACCTCCACCCTTAAGATATTAGAAAGAGAAGAACTAAACTAAATCTTCCCACAAAGAAAAGTCTAGGTCCAAAAGGCTTCACTGATAAATTCTATCAAATACTTAAAGAAGAACCAACATCAGTTCTTCCCAAATTCTTTCAAAATTAGAAAAGGATGGGTTACTTCCCAATGCATTCTATGAAGCAGTATTGCCCTATCTTAAAGCCAAAAATATCTTAAAAAAAAACAAAAAAAAACTACAACCCAATATCCCTTATACATAGAGAAATGAATATCCTCAACAAAATACTAGCAAACTGAATCCAGAAAAATATTAAAAGGATTCTATACCATGAACCAGTGGGGCTTATCTCAGAAATATAAAGTTGGTTTAACATATAAAGATCAATTAATGCAATACATCATATCAATAAATAACAAAACCCACATGATCAATTTAATAGATGCAAAAAAAAGCATTTGACAAAATCCAACACACATTCATGATTTAAAAACTTCAACTAAGAACTTCCTTAACATAACAGAGAATTTATGAAAAATAGCTAACATCATATTTAATGGCAAAAGGTTGAATTCACCGTAAAACTGGGAACAAAACAAGGGTGTTTGCTCTTACCACTTCTATCCATCATTGTGCTGGAGGTGCTGAAGTAATTAGGCAGGAATAGGAAGTAAAATATGTTATGATCAAGAAGAATGAATTCAAAACTGTCTTCACTCTTAGATTCTATGCTCTTGTATATGGAAAATCCTAAGAACTCTATTTAAAAACTACTAGAACTAATAAATAAGTTCAGTAAGGTCACAAGGTAGAAGATAAATATTTTAAAAATTGAATTTCTATACACTAGCAATGAACAGTCAAACAACGAAATTAAGAAAACATTTCTATTCACAATAGCTTCAAAAAGAACAACATACTTAGGAATAACTTTAAAAAAATGCTCTCCCCTAAATCCAGTTACTTTTAATTTTTATTCTCATTCATTTCAAATTTTTAAATCCAGTTTTTAAAAAAGAGTAATCTAATACTATTCAGCAATAAAAGGAACAAACTATGGATACATGCAACAACTTAGATAAATGTCAAGGGAATTATGCTGAGTAAAAAAAAAAAAAAAAAACAAATTCAAAAGGTTGCATACTTCATGATTCCATTTATATAACATTTTTGAAATGACAAAATTATAGAGATAGAGGACAGCCAGGGTGGCTCACACCTGTAATGCTAGCACTTTGGAAGGCTGAGGTAGGAGGATTGCATGAGGCCAGGAGTTTGAGAACAGACTGAGCAACATAGTGAGACGCCCAATCTCTACAAAAAATAACAAACAAAAAAAAAATTATAGAGATGGAGAACAGATTAGTAGTTGCCAGTGGCTGCTAGAGGAATGGGAAGGGAGGGAAATAGCTGTGGCTTTAAAGCAGTGGCACAAGAGATCCTTGTCATGAAACTATTTGGTATATCAGCTGTGGTAACAGTCACATGAAAGTACACCTGTGATCAAATTATATAAAACTAAACATAAACACACAAGTGCATATAAAACTGGTAAAATACGATAAGGGAGATGGATTTTTATAAATGCCAATTTCCTAGATATGATACTATACTATAATTATGCAAGCTATCACCACTGGGGACACTGAATGAAGGGCATACGGGACCTTTCTACATCGTTTCTTACAACTACATATAAATCTACAATCATCTCGTAATTAAAAGTTAGAAAAAGAGTGGTCTATATTAATTAGTTTCTCTTCACTTTCAATATATTCTTCCAGCTACTGTCATCTGGCTTCTGACTCTTGAAACTTATCTTTGTAACCTTATCAATAACTTCATCATTAATAAACACAATGAACACTTACTCCTATTATCTTGACTACTTTGCAACACTTAACATCCTCTTAAAATTCTTTCTTCCTTGGCTTCCATGACACCACTCTTTTCTGTGCATCTACCGTCTCTCAGATTACTCCTTCTTGGTCTTCTTTTCTGGCTCCTATTCTCTGCCTTTACTGTAAAGCTCAACAACTTAGTTCTTCTCATTATACATTAATCTCTCTCTCATGATCATCTCACCCATTCCCACAGCTTCAACTATCCCCTAAAGTGTAAAGCTTCTCAAATTTTTTTTACATATAGTTCATCTCTCTCCTGGGCTCCAGAGCTATATTTCAACTCTTTGGACATGTGTATCCCAATGTGTAATATATCCTAATATAGTTTTAAATTTTTTACTGAGACATAATTCACATTTTCAACACAAAAAATTTGTGTAAGCAAGGATGTGGAGAAATTGGAACCCAATGTAGTTTTATCTCAGCCTTCAAGAGTACTTGGGCTCTATCTTCACTCACTCAACAAATGTTCACTGAACTATGAGCCAGACACTGTAGTACACACTGGGGCACTCACCTAGGGAGCACCCCAAACTGAACTCATCACCTTCCTCCTCCAATCCTGCTTTTCCTCCTTCTGAGGATAGCAGGTTCACAAGAAATAATGTAAAATAGTTCTTAAACATAGGAAAAAATGTTCAACTTCAGTCAAAATAAGAAATACCATTTTAAAACCTTTCTGGTTAGCAAAAGTAATGCATACTGTGTTGGTGATGGTATGGTAAAAAAAGGCACTTTCACATACGTTGATGGGAGTATTTTACAAATTGTTACAACTCCTATGAAGGACAATTCAGCAATATCTAGCAAAATTTAAAAAGCACATGAACTATGACTCAAGAATTCTACTTTTGGGAATTTATCCTACAGATATATATATGTATGTGTGTGTATGTGTGTGTGAGAGAAATATAGAAATGTACAAGAATATCTACTGCAACATTGTAATAGCAAAAAATACAGGAAACAATGTCATATCCATCAATAGAGTACAAATAAAATGTTTGGTATAAAATGAAAGAACTAGACATAAGAGGAAACAAAATGACAAGAACAAGAACAAGAATCAAAATAGATTATAGTATATCTAATATATCTTGGAAGAAAACTTCCAAGATATATTAATAAAAAATTAAAAAACAAAAAGGCACAGAATAAGTGCATATAGCTTGCCACTATTTTTGAACTATGTGTATATATCCAATTTTTAAAAGTAAAATAATTTAATTTTAATAAATGGCACAAAAAACTCTCTAGTTCTTCACCAGTGCATAGAAAATAATCTCCAAATTCCTTAATGTGACACATAAGAAATTTCACATTCTGAGCCTCATTTATCTCATTAGTCTATCTCCTGCTTTTTCACTGTAATACTCTATACTCTAGCCATAACAATGTATAGTAGTTTTCAAAAGTCAACTTTTCTCTCAACTCCTGCCTATGTATCTTTTCACTTGTTTCATCACCTGAAAACTGAAGATAATGCCTTCTTCATGGGATGCAGTAAGAATTAACTGATAAAATGCAAACAGTGTCAACACCACAAAAGCTCATTATCTGCTATATTTGGAAACGGCAAGCAAGTTGATTTGGATCAACCTCACATTGAAGACAAGCTGAAAAAAATATAAAAATAAATCTGCTTGAAGGCATCTAACTGCTAACAATGTAGTCAAGAAATACTGAGTCAAAACCCAAAGGATAAAAATCCACAGAGGTGACTTCAGCATTTGAGGTTGCTTTATCCTGAGGGTTTGCTAATAATGAAAGGCTTCTAGTAAACTTTGTAGCATGTTTAACAGAGTCACAGGCACCGATAAATTCTTCATTCATACTTTTGGTTGGGAACTCCAAGGGCTGCACCCTAGTAGTAAGAGTATACTAGAAGTAAATCAATCCTTGCATATACTGCGGCATAATTTTGAGTTGTTTTGTTGGCTCAGAAAAATCCCTGGAATTGGATTAAGATGATTGCAGATTACTAGTGCTTGAATTGTCTGGTAAAAGAAAAAAATTCCTTCTAGAAAAATATAATGTAAAACCTAAGGTTCAAATAAATTCTGCACACAATTTTTCAAATAAAATGTATAGAATAAAATAAACGAAAACAAGACACAAGAGCAGACAAGACAACAAGAACAAAAACCAGCTAAAAACAGAACAATGGAAAGGAGTCACAGGAGCTCCAGATATTAAAAATATCAAAGACTTTAAACAACTATGATCAAGGAGATAAAACAGAAGAACTTTATCTCAGCAGAGAACTGGAACCTCTAAAACATGACATATCTATAAAAGAACCAAAGAGAAATTATAGAAATAAAACATACAATAACTAAAGTTAGAAACTCAATAGATGTAATTAAGGGCAGATTAGATATAGTTAAAGAGAGAAACAGTGAACTGGACGATAACAAAATTACCTAGAATAAAGCATGATGAGATGATAGGATGGAATACAGAAGACAGGATATTAGCGGACAAATTATGACGGTCTAACTTACATGTAATTGGAATTCCAGAAAAAGAGGAGAGAAAAGTGGGTTAGAAGCAATATTAGAAGAGATAACAGCTGAGAATTTTCTAAAACTGATGAAAGATATCAAAGCCATAGATCTAATAACTCCAGGTTGGCTACATAAAATGAAACCTACACCTAAACACATCAGAGTAAAACTGCAAAAAAACAAAAAAAAACAAAGATACTCCTAAAGTGGGATATCTTTGTTTCATTTCATTTCATACCCTTTAATCTTAAAGGAGAAAAAGATATATCATCTTCAAAAGACCAACAATTAACCTGACAACTAGTATCTCAGCAGAAACACTGATAACTAAAAAACGATATAATAATATCTTCAATGTGCTAAAAGAAAATGACTATCAATCTATAATTTTATACCCAACAAAAAATATTTAAGAGTGAAAGTGACCACAATAACAAATCTTGAAGACATTATGCTAAATAAGACAGACACAAAAGGCCACACATGTGTATGTATATGTTCCATTTATATGAAATGTCCAGAATAGGCAAATCCATAGGTATAGAAGAATAATGGCCAGGGGCTGGGAGAGGAGGAATATAGAGTGACTGCTAATAGGTATGGGACTTATTTTAGGTATAATGAAATGTTCTGGAATTATATAATAGAGATGGTTGTACAACTTTGGGAATATATTAAAAATCATTGATTGTACACCTGAATATGATGAAAATGGTGAATTTTATGTCACGTGAATTTTATCTCAATAAAAAAAGAATGAAAGTGAAGTAATAAATTATTAAATAAAAATTATTCATTCCCTGGTCACATAATAAAATAATTCAAAGTTAATGTCAAAGAGTATTCTTCAGGCTAAAGGAAAATAATCCCACTGGAAATAAAGAACAATGAAAAGGGTAAATATGTGGGTAAATCTAAATGAATAAAATAATATACCATATTAAACAAGATAATATTCTTGACAGTCTTACGAGTTCTCAAAGTTGAGAAATACTGAATTATTGAATACAGCCAAATAAGAATTAGAGGGCAATCTTCTCAGAAAATTATTGATTGTACAGCTCATGACAGCCTGGAAACCAGAGGCACCATCTCTTCAAAATTACTAATATCTGGAATTCTACTCCTAATTTAAAGTATGCATGGAAAGTATAAGCCTCTAATATATAATACTGAAATATAAGAACTCATGTAAAAAATCAATGTGCTAGTCTTTTTAAATTATTCAAAAATCTTACCATTGCAGAAAAGCAACTGATATACAAAAAGCTGCACCTACCCTTTCTCAATCACATCATTCTTAGAAGAAACTGGATACAAAGACTCACTCTTCCCAGGTTTCTGAGTTGCTGTTTTTACTCTAGGTGCTTTCTTGGGAGATTTAGGAGGTTGTAATAAGCTGAAGTCCTCTTTCTAAAAGGTAGTAAGACAATGAACAAAATTAAAAATGAGCAAAAGGGAAAAAAACGAGAGAGAATAAAGTACATAGCTCTGCACACATACCTCACATTTGTTCAGCTCACCAGAGGACTTTTTCCCTCCCTCTACCTCCTGCCGTGCTTCCCACTAGAAAAGAAATTCTCTCCTTCCCCAAATCCAACATTTATGCAACCAGCACAGTGAAATACAACAACAATTTAGACTATAAGAAAAGATCTAAAGGCTTGTATATCCATACTTCCACCAATGTGAAAGAAGACTCTTGCCTGGAGGAACAACTCTGCAACAACTTTTCTTTATTCTGTAACTGAATAGGTATTAGAGATAATATGTGTGTGTGGGGGTGGCGGGAAGGTCACAAAGCAGGGAAATGAAACAAAGATACCCATTGTCCATTAGAAGGGATGGATCTATATCTTATTAGCACCATTGCCTTCCATTTTGGACATTTTATTTTCATGGTTATTTTTTTCCCATTCTTTTTTTCCTCCCATGGGGCCATTCTTAAAAGTTCTTTATGGTAAAAGTTAACAATTTAAATCCAGAATGTGAGATCTACAGGCATGAATCAAGAAAACTATAAACAACTAAATGTCCAAATGGAGGAGAAAGAAACAATGACCTGAGTATGGGATATACATAAATGTAACATTATACAATACTTAAAAATAATGGTTATAAAAATGATGACACATGGAAAAATACTTTTGATAACAGAAATAATCAGAATACAAAAGTGTAAGTGCATGAAAACAAAAAATTCACAAGAAACCTAAGAGAAAATAAGTTAGTAGTTGTCTAACAGTAGGTGAGATCAGAAGTGATTTGTCTCTTTCTCCAGTTTTCAAATTTACAGTAGTTTTATTATTTTTATAATTTGAAAAACAAACATAAAAAATTTTTCTAATATGTCAGTTTCCATTAGAATATAATATATGTCGCTGGAAAGCAAGGAATATATTTATGATATTTTATTATCCAGAACAAACAATAAAATATTACATATACTCCATGTAGCCAATAACTACTAAGAATTTTTAAGAATTCTATAAACAAAATGAATAACTTAAGTATATTCTACATATAACTTCCCAGGTATCAGAGCTCACATCTGTTTTAGTAATTTAGAACACAGCACGAATTAAATACCACTCAATAAATAAGAGTTACCACAGGAGGCTGAGCTTTGGTATATCATACAAAAGTCATCAAATTCAAAGAAAGAGAAAGTACAACGGATATCATCAGGGGCTGGGGGGGAAGGAGTAAAGGGGAGTTGTTTTCTAATAGGTGTAGAGTCAGATTTGCAACATGAAAAAGTTCTGGAGATCTGTTTCACAAAACTGTGAATATACTTAACACTACTGAACCACCTAAAGGAAGTGAGGGGGCAAGTCATGTAGACATCTAGAAGAAGAGTGCTCCAAGCAAGGCAAACAGGAAGCACAAAACCCTGGGGGTTATGGTTGGTGTCTTCAAAGAAGAGCAGAGAGACCAGAGTAGATGGAGTGGAGTAAGTTAGAGAATGGTGGGACAAGAGGTCAGGAGGTTAGCAGGGGCTTTCAGAAACTATGCAATGACTTAGGATTTTATTCTGAGTTAGAGCAGAGGTCACAGGAGAATTTTGAGCAAATGAGTGACATGATCATGTATTTTTAAAGGATCACTGTGGCTGCTTGGTAGAGAATAGACTGACTGTAGGTTTTCTTTTTTTTTTTTTTAATGTTAATAGATTTAGGGGGTACAAGTTGAATTTCATAACATGTATATACAGTACAGTGGTGAAATCTGGGCTTTTAGTGTACCCATTACCCAAATAGTGTCCATTGTATCCCACAGGTAATTCTGTATCCCTCACTTCCTGCCACCCTCCCTGCTTTTGAGTCTCCAACATCCATTATACCACTTTATGCATAGCCATAGTTTAGCTCCCGCTTATAAATGAGAACAAGTGGCAACTATTTTTCTGTTCCTGAGTTACTTCATTTAGGATAATGGTCTCCAGTTTCATCCATTTGCTGCAAAAGACATTATTTCATTCTTTCTTATAGCTGTGTAGTACTCCATAGCATGTGTGCATATACGTATATGCACACACATATATATTTTTATATATATATACACACACACATACACACCACATTTTCTTTATCCACTCACCAGCTGATGAGCTTTAGGTTGATTCCATATCTTTGCAATTGTGAATTGTGCTGTGATAAACATAATACAAGTGCAGGTATCTTTTTGATATAATGATTTCTTTTCCTTTGGGTAGATATCTAGCAGTGGGATTGCAGGATCAAATGGTAGATCTACATTTAGATCTTTGAGAAATCTCCATACCGATATCTCCATATAGGTTGTCCTAATTTACATTCCCACCAACAGCTTATAAGCATTCCCTTTTCACTGCACCCATGCCAATATATGTGGTTTTTAACTTTTTAATAATGGCCATTCTAATTAGAGTAAGATGGTATCTCATTGTGGTTTTCATTTACATTTCTCTGATGATTAATGATGGTAAGCATTTTTTCATATGTTTGCTGGCCATTTGTGTATCTTCTTTTGAAAAATGCCTGAGAATAGACTGTAGGTTTTCTTATTTCCTAATTGTTGCAGCAGGTACATTACCAACAACAATAGTAACAAAAAAGCTTATGATAAAACTTAAGATTCAGTGTCCAAACACTCAAGCATAGACATTTTACTATAAACTTAATAGAGATCAAAGCATCAATGTATACCCTACCTGGATCTCAGATATCTGTGGAATGCAAGATTTAGGTCTTAGTGGCAAGAGGGTTGCCATTTGTGGAAAAGGGTCAATATCCTTCCTTGGTTTCTCTTGACGGAGGTGCCAGAATTTCAGTTCAGCACTAGCATGTTTTGCTGAGTCTGAATGAGTAACACAGAATCTTGGTGCCCTGTTTATTGGAAAAATAAACTTAAGACTGAACTAGACAATAAGCCTCAAAAATCAAAAGCCTTCAAAATATATAATAGCTGTGCTTACAATTATCCATTTTGCTATATTATCCTCCCCCCCCCCTTTTTTTTTGAGACAGAGTCTTGCTCTGTCACCCTGGCTAGAGTGCAGTGGCGTCACGGTAGCTCACTGCAAGCTCAAACTCCTGGGCTCCAGTGATCCTCTTGCCTCAGGCTCCCCAGTAGCTCAGACCACAGGCGTGCACCATGACACACAGCTAATTTTTCTATTCTTAGTAGAGATGGAGTCTCACTCTGCTCAGGCTGGTCTCGAACTCCTGAGCTCAAACAATCCTCCCACCTTCACCTCCCAGAATGCAAGGATTACAGGCGTGAGCCACCACGCCCGGCCACTATACACCTTTTTAAATAATGTCTACTTCTTTTTCTGCTGCCTAGCCTTAAAAATATTTTTCTATGATATGTTAACTTCCTGAAATCCAATTCACTCACATAAAAAGGCAATATACATTAGGGTAATGTCCTAAGTAGTATTATGTTCAAATTATTATCAGCTTGATAAGAAAAACCTATATATCTATCAATGAAGGAATTTTGAAAGTAACTCATGTTTCTAGTAAAATAAACATCAAATTTACTTCTGATAATTTTAAGGCAGTTTAGTATGTATCTATAGTACCAAATAAAAATTGGTAGAATGAAATTAACATATAAATTTTTTATAATGCTTAAGTATGCTAGTAAAGTAGGTTATGATTCATGTTATTTATTTTCAAGCCTTTAAATTTGAAGGTAAGAATTTTACAATAATTTATATAAGTGAAAGACCAATACTACTGCCAGAAACTAGGAAAAAAGAATGTCTGGCACAATATCAAGGCCATGCTTAATTGGATGGATATCCTGGTATTCAGTGTGGACTAACTCTTTATTGGACATAGGGTTAACTCCAGATGTCAAGGGCTGCCGCTAATTGCTTCTTGGACCAGGTTTTTCTCCCTGATGCCACACCCTAAAGACTAATTCCCGTTCCATATTCCAGGGCCTGGTAGAAAATTTCTTCCCTTTAAATAAGGAAGGAGATAGGTATCTTTACTGATGTGAACACCAATTGGAAGTAGAAGAGAACCCAAAGTCCATAATTAGTTTAGGATCAGAAAGCATTCTGTATAGATCTCCATGCTCATTCTATACTATATTTCAGAAGCTTTACTTGCAGACTTGGAAATATCCAAAATTATTTATTTTCATGTTAATTAGTAAGTGGGCATATCTACAAGACCCTTATTAGCCAGGCATGGTGGTTCATGTCCGTAATACCAGCACTTTGGGAGGCTGAAGTAGGAGGATCTCTTGAGGCCAGGAGTTTGACACCAGCCTGGGCAACATAGTGAGACCTCACCTCTTAAGGAAAAAAAAAAAAGACCCTTATCAAATTAAACAATGTGTGATGGCCAGGAAATCTAGGTGCCTCAATTTTGATTTACATCATTTGAGTATATTCATATGATCCCGTAAGTCCCTGATGCTGTTACCATTTTAATTTTATACTCTTATTTCATTCAGATAGCATTAATATTTGATTAGTCACTACATGAATTCATCAAATATTATGGAATATATCATAGTGAATCCTAAACTGGTATTGTATTATTTTTGATGCTTCTATTATACAATTTCTCATGTACACTGATTATATGTATCTTAATTCTCAAGCTCTAGCAAGTAAGAGAAGATATTTGCCACATAACCACCAAGGACTTATATCCAATACATATGTGTGTATGTGTGTGTGTGTATCCAATGGTAATAGACAAAAACTGGAAACAACTTTAATGTCCTTCAGTGGGTGAATGAATATAGCACATCCATGCAACAAAATTCTACTTAGCAATAAAAAGGAACAAGCTATTGATACACACAGCAGCCTGGATGGATCTTAAGGTAATTATGTTGAATTTTAAAAAGCTAATGCCAAAAGATTATATATTGTATAATTTCATTTATTAGCAGTTTCCAGTAATTAGGGATGGAGGGGCCAAGGTGGGAAAGAGGGAGGTGGGTGTGGTTATAAGAGGGCAGTTCGAGGGACACTTGTAGTGACGTAACTGTGTCTTGACTGTGGTGGTAAATGCCTGAATTATAAAGCGGTAAAATAACAGAGAACTAAATATACAGCACACAGAAATGAGTGTATGTTAAACTAGCGAAATACGAAAAGATCAGTAAATTGTATCAATGTCAATTTTCTCATTGTCACATTGTACTATAGTTACAGTTACGAAAGATGTTACCACTGGGGGAAATTGTATGAAAGGTACACAGTATCTCTTTGTATTATTTCTTACAACTGCATATAAATCTGTAATTATCTCGAAACAAAAAGTTCAACTAAAAAAGGAAACATTACTGTATTGGTAATGTTTTATTAAACTTACACATAGGTACCCACTATAGTATAATTTATACCTTTCTGTATGTCTTAAATATTTAAGAATAAAATGCTTTAAAGAAAGAAAGAGGAGAACAGTACTCTCTCTACAGATAGAAAAGTACAAAGCATATAAGTAATCTGGAATACCTAGATGGAAGATGATGCCAGAGAAGTAGGCAAGGAATAAATTGTGATCACCTTATTTGCTAATTTAAGGAAACTGAGCTTTATACTGAAAGCTCTGGGGTAAACAGTGAGAGATTTAAAGCAGAGAAATGACACAATCAGATCCATCATAGTCACAACGGACAACTCACTGATCTGTAAATGTCACACATTTCTTCCACTATGCCCGTTCTCTTTTCCTTGCGTCAAGTCCCCAGAGTTCCAGGTGAAATATGACTTCTTCTCTGTAATCTTGTGCATTTACCACACTTTCTTTTATTATATACTGAAATATTCACGTTATGTTTTTCCATTATACTATTACCACTAGACTTGGCCATGCTTCACCCTGTATCCTTAGCACAGCACTTGGCCTATAGCAGGTGCTCAAAAAATATTTATCGAGATGATAAATCTGTAACTCTAGCTATGTGTATAAACACACACACACACACACACACACACACACACCGATTTTATGGGATACATATCATAAAAAGGACAAAGTTAAAAGGGAACTTAAGTACTGTCCAGCATTATTATAGATTTACAGTAACCCGAACATCCAGATTATCTAAAAGATGAGTACCTTAAGGAAAGCTAAAGATAAAATAATCTTGTCATTTTAGGTTTTCATAAGTTATATATCCATAAGACAAAACAAGTATAACTCATAACTAGCCTAAGAAAAGTGAAAATAAATAACTTTGATTCATGTTCTTTTTCTTACCAATAAAGAAGTAAAGGTTTTACAACTTCAGACTGAATATTTTTTAAATGCTCTTCAGTCCACTGAGATCCATCTAACAGTTTAAATTTTGATAAGATTTCTGCAGAAAGGTAGTACTCTCCACTGCTCACTAGATAGCATCTTTTCATCTTCTCAAGATGTCTGAAAGAAAACACATATCCACATATCCACACACACAGAATATTCAACTACCAAAATGTTTTCACCTCTAAAATGTTTCAGACAAGTAATGAGTAAAACAAACAAGCAATACTGAGTGTCAGGGAGTTTGAGAGTACCAAACACTTTTGTGGAGATAATATTTCTCACAGTTACGAGTATGGGAACAATATTTGTGATGGCCTGAATAATGGCCTTGCAAAGCTGTCCACATTCTAATCTCCAGAACTTGGGAATATGTTACCTCACATGGCAAAAGGGACTCTGCAGACATGATTCAGTTGAGGACTTTAAAGGGGATCATCCTGGATTATCTGGTGGGACCAATGTAATCACAAGGGTCCTTCTAAGAGGGAGGAAGGAGGGTCAGAGTCATAGAGAAAAGATGTGAGGACAGAACAGAGGTCACAAAGATGAGAAGATGCCATCCTACTGGCTTTAAAGATGGAGGAAGGGGCCATGAGCCAAGGATGGTGGGTGGTCTTCATAAGGTGGAAAAGGCAAGAAACGGATTCCTCCCTAGAGCCTTCTGACCTCCAGAACTATAAAAGAATAAATAAAACTTAGTTACTTTAAGCTATTACATTTGTGGTAATTTATTACAGCAACAATGGGAACTACTACAGTATTGATCCTGAAAAACCTAAGTATGTTACTTAGATATAACTTCCTGATATGTTTTGAGAAGTGGTAGGTGGTGATGGGACCTTCCATCCCATGATCAATCAGGTCATACTTCATATCAACCATTTGGTGACCCCTTGTTTTATAACTATGTAGAACAATGAGCTCCATGATCCAAATGCCATTAAAATAACTGGAATAACCCAGTCACTAGCATACACTCAGTCAAACCCTTAAGGGGAATTGCAATCTACTATGGTTGACCTGCTTCAGTGCACATCAGGAGAATGCAGATGAGTTAAGGACTTTCCTAAAAAAGGGTCCTCTTAAGGTTCTTAACTTTCAGTAATCTAAAACATATGGAGCTGACCAAATGAAGACCTGAGCCCCATAAGACCTCCAAGAGGATTTTCAGCAGAGAGACTCATCCGAATATCCAGCTGTGTGGCATCTAACTAAAGATCATGGAATTTGTTAACCAAGCAGGCTGCTAGAAACAACAGGCTCTCACACTGGCATAAGCTCTTATAGGCTAGTGTGGTTGTATAACTTACAAATTATTTTTTTCTATAAAAATTCTATATAATTGGACTGTTGTTAAAGCTAAAATAGAATTAATTTGAAAAAAGTTCTAGAATTTATGGGAAGAAACATTATGCAAACCAAATAATTGGTATCATTATTATCTGAAAACTATGAAATCAGAAAACTAGTAAAATTAATATTTACTATTATAAATATTTACAAAGGGTATAAATTACATTTTTACATTTATTTTAGGCTTTCTGCCTGTACTTAAATAACTCAAACTAATATTCTATAATTTGATTTTAAAACTATTGAAAAATAAAAAATAGAAATACCTTTGAAGTCTTCCAGGGTCCTTAAGAACTTTTAACCTCTCAATATCCATCCATAGGCACCAATATCTCTCTCCTAAGGTACCTTTTACAAATTTCTTAAATCTTTCAAACTCCTTTCTATTGCCAATGTCATACGTTTTATGAGAAACACACCAGTCAGCCCCTCTCTCTGGTCCAGAGCTCTCACTCTTCGAAATTAAACTTGTTTGTTCTAACATTTCTTCTGACTTTTCCTTTGTGGTTTGAATTGGTTCTCTTAAAAAATTCATGCCAGAGAGAGATTCAAAACAATCACCAAATGACACCTGTGTGATACTGCTAAAGTTTATATAGCCTGGGATTTCTCCAAATGGCTCTCCAGTAATTTGGTGAATTGCTGATGTCAAAATGAAGTATACATAGGAGTTTAAAAATTCTTCAAATGTTGAGAAATGCAATGTCTGGCTTTCATCAACTTGTTGCTTTTCAAGATACATTCTCAGAAGAGCTTGAGAAGGAGTATCTTGTAGAGATATAGAACCTTGTTCTTCTTCTTCTTCTTCTTCTTCTTCAAATTCAGAAATTAATTTAGTAGTTTTAAATGGGTCCTTTTTTGTCCTGGGGTGAACTCCATCATTAAAGATAAAACTCTCTGTGTTAAATCATAAAAGGTTATTAGATTAGATATGAATACAAAATTTTTAAATTATTAAATAGATGCTATAGGCCAGGATGACAAATGAATTTATCACAGATAGTGACTACATGGGCCAGTGTCTTAAGAAGGATTCTGAAGCCAGAAAAACAAACTGCCAACAGGAATTGATCTTGTGTTCCCTGGACATAGAAAGGGAGCATGATAGCAGATGGACTAAATATTTGACATTCCTAACACAGGGGATATTCAAAACCACTATTATATACTTTTAAAATGTGGTATTTCAGACTGATATAGAACGCCAATACATAAGGGCCAAATCTATTAAGGAATTAAGTGACTATATGTGCTTTAATATTTCATGTTGCATGTAAAGGAAAATTATCTACTATAGATGATGAGATCATAGATGGAGAGACCAGAACTGGACTCAGTATCAGCAATTTTTTTAAATTCACTGTTTCATCAGAAAGATTTAATTTCTATCATACTTACAGCCTTTCATTAAAGTTACAAAATGGCATAAGGTATTTATGAAGGCTTATAATGAATTATTTTTATACTTTTTCTAAAGAGATAGTATTTAGCTCCTCTTTTTCTTTCTTTCAAATATCAGATGTTAGCACTTTATTTCACGCAGTGAATCTGCCCCTGGAATTGCCACAGATCAAGTGACTGTTGTAATCTGTGTCCCACTGTCAGTGACCATGTCCTCAGTTACCAGATTTCAAGTCTCAATGAACTGGAAACATTCATTACAATTTTTATTGGAGGTAAATATACCAAATTTTCCACATATTGAGAGATTAGACTTTGTAAACCTGTGAAAGGACACTGGGCACACACTCGATGCCCCGCAATTGAAGGGAGGCTGTGGCAAAGGGCGAGGCAGGCATTTCTGCTCACCACTCTCCTGCCATCCTTCTTCCTGTTTACTATCTTTACTCTCTAATTTTCTACTTTAATATTTTGGGGAAACAGCAAGAAACCTATAAATCCAGCTATGTTCAATTACGAACATTCTTTTCCTCTTTAGCTAGACGTAAGTTCAATTCTAGAGAATCCAGATTTATCTTCCCCAGAGGTTGCTTATACTTTTAAAGAGATCAGTTAAGTACTGTTAGTGAATTCCTGAGTTCCTCTCCTGAATCACACCTAGATTTTTTTCTCTAGCAACATCATAATGACTTCCATTTCTCGAAGGTTCATTCTATTTTTATGAGTTTATATTATGCACAAAACCTCAGAGTAGAAATTTATCTGCTTTTCAAGGTGAAAAGTAGTCTGAACTTAAGAAAAGAAGGGAAACTCAAGGACAGAGAAATGTTGTACAAACTTTATTGCAAAGACTTAACAAAAATTTGTAAACTGTGATAGGAAATAATAATAAGACAAACATTTATTGACTGCATATTAGGTACCAAGCACTAGGCCAGGCATTTTCTATACATTTAGTATGTTTCATTATTCCAATCTTTCAGATAAGAAAAGCAAGACTCCCAGAAGTAGAATAACTCATCAAAGGTCACACAGCTAGTAAGTATCAGAGTTGGGTTCTAAACCCATCCTCGTCATTATACCAAGTTGCCTTTTAAAAAACCAGTAGGCAGTAGAGTGGGGGAGGGGGATGTGGATAATTTTTTTCTCCCCAACCACTAAATGCTGTGCTATAAGATTAGAAGAAATAAACAAAAACTTAAAGAGGAGTTCTAAAGTCATTCTTGTCTTTTCCTGCTTACCAGAAACAGATGAAATAACTGGAGACTCCATTTTTCTGTGTGGTACAGGAGAGAGTAATGAAAAGGTTGGTACTGTTTGCTGACTTTGTTTTGCTAATGTAAACCAATCTTGTGTTTGAGTATAAGAGGCCTAGGAAGAAAGGAGCATATCTGTTTAACATAACGATTAGTAGTATCCCTCCAATCACAAACCTGGACAAATAATTATAATAACATTCAACTTGTGTAATACAATATGTAAAGGAAAAATTATCCCATGAAAGAAAAGAAAATTGTACTCAGAAAAATTCATTAGATAAGAGAATAATGGGAAGGAAATTTCTCTCCAGATATTTTTCATAGTAGATAACCAAAGGAAAAAAATGAGTCCAATACTCATCAAATTCTCTACTCTCACTCTCACTCTCAGGCTATTGCTGACCAAAGGCATGAAACCCTGCTTCCTGGATTTACTACAAATTCATGCTATCTGACTTCAACTTGGCAGTCACCGTGGCTCCGTTGATGCATTTTTGCTAGCTGCTCGCATTTACAACTTGCCTAATTATTTCATGTCCCCATTTCTGTCTGACCTGGATCAGTGTTTTTAACAACTCCTCCCCCATTATGGCAGAGACTCTACTCTTAATACTACTGGAAAACTCTCCAAGTTCAGGCACCCCTTTGTCTCGGATTTAGTTTTCACAACTTTGCTTGGATTGGATACTTCCTGCGAACTGATTCTTGACTCCATCTGCCCCTGGATGCAGCCTTCGTTTTTCCCTTGCTTTGTGCATCCCTGAACCAGCCAACCTAATTCCCAGGCTGATCCTTAGCCTCTAGACCCCATCCCTAAGAAGCTGCTATCCCAGAAGACTTCCTGGGAAAATTCCTCTGCCTGCCCCTTTCAGTGATATCCTCATCTGTTTTTCCCAGAAAATCCAAGTTGTTCAACAGGAGCAGAGAAGGGAATGTCCAGCATTTTTGTCATTTTTCATTTCTCCTTTCTCCAACTGAGTCAGCTGGCTGGTCAGCACTTAGCTTAAGGAACACTTGCAGAAGAAGAGGCTCAAATGGAAGAGATATTATTTCCTATCTATTATACAGAATTAACAGAGCAAGTCAGGCCACATAACGAGACCAAAGCGAGAGAGAGAAATGAGGGGTGGCATCTCAATAGTTACTTCCCCTCTTAGAGGTAAAGTTTCCTGGGTGCATAAAAGCTTTGAAAGACTCTAATTCACTTTTGTTTCCTCTTTCCTTTAAAACCAAGTTATTTATTATTAACTATATGTTCATTCAACACTTATTTATTGAGTGACTACTTTATTCCAAGCAATAGCCTAAGCACTGACAGGAAGGACAAATAATTAAAGAACATTCAAGGAATTGAGAGAGACCAATATACAAGTGTCCTTGCTATTTCAACTGCACAAAAAGGATGAGAGAAGACAGGGCAGAAAGAAGTCAACAGTCAAACACAAAAGTAGTTAATTACTCCACTTCACAGTTTTAAGAGATGGGTCAACTGGTTTTTGGATGGTATGGTTGAAGACTCAAACAAATACTACCAATTATCATAAAGATTAGTCCCTATCTATAGTCATGGCTTAAATAATTTAAGGGCCCAAAGAATTTTGAATCCTCAAAGCTCAAAGGCTATTGAAAAACGGCATAGTTAAATAATTAATCAAGTGCGCAGAAATAGTTCTTTCATACCAGAAAATAGCAAAAGCAAACTAGCTTAGATTTTCACTCCCTTATATTTGATTAAATTCACATGTAAGGAATCAAAACTTACTCCCCTGGATTGATTCTTTCATTTGTGTGTTTATTGGCCTCAACTATCAGTACATATTTTTATGACATTCCTGACATTTCTAAAATATTTAAGTTAGAAGAAAAAATAAATACTTAAAAATAAGTATAAGAGAGAAGAAAAACATCCTTTAAACATCACTAAGCATTATTCAGCGGAAATAACGGAACTGGCATAACTTTAAACATTTTTGACAAATATTGCTGATAGAAATGCCATACTACAAAATTAAGAAGAGCCATACATGAAAAAAAAAAGAGTTCAAGTAACATAAGTCCATCCATTCCAACACAAATGGCAAAGAGGATTCCTCTCATAATGACATCTCTGATCAATTGGAAGTGCCTGCCCAGAATACTGTGCTGAAAAGAATTTGGGGCCAAGTCCTAGCTCAGCAGAAAAATTTCCACAATTGATTAACAATGTCTGTCATGGATGGAGACTAGGAGAGTGACAGCACATGACCTACACATTTGCCATTCCTGATTTTGAATAAAAGTGTTTCCAGAAATAAGATTTGATAATTAGGCCAAAGGTTAAACAACAGTTTTCACTACACTGTGACTCTCCAAAAAGACATTTGATTCTAGGTTATATCTTTTCAAATGCACTCCTACAACCCCACACTTCTCCAATCATGGAGGACAAATTTATTTGACAGCAGTTAGACAGTAATGCATTTTAATACTAAGGAATAATCTAGACAATAGGAAGGAGAAGATTCAAATTATCATCTTTTGTACAAAAGTAACAGAATTCAAATGATAAAAATTTTGGAATAGACAATGAAACCGTGGATATAATTCAAGTTACCCTTGATTCCCAGGTGGTACAGCATGTTCTTCCCTGCTTTTATTACTTTAGACACATGAGGATAATATTTCTAATTACCTTTCAGGTGAAAATGTGGAGAGCAAATGAGTCAACATAAACCCATAAGAATTACTGCTAAATCTGTTTTAGAAGTATTTGAAATCATTTTCCCTTTCCAAGTGGTACAAATGAAATTCACGCCCCTAAAATGAAGTTTCATTGAAGTGCCAAGTCATGTAAACAAATCTCATATTTTTACCTCGCCAAGAGAAATGTAGAACTTTTTCATAATTATAAGATTATCTTCTTCAGTGGCAGTGGGTGGTGGACTGGGTGGTTTTTTCAGGATCCAGGGAGAAAAATTTGTACCTACTGTGAAATTCACACCTGACTTGCTCCATCGTACTTGTGAGACCAATTTGGCTAACCTGTATTTTAGAAATCATACAATTTTGAAATAAGTTTCAAATATGATAGAATTCAGGAAAAAAAACACTAAAATTTTATTTTATGTATTCAAGCCAGTCTCCCCTCTTAACTGCAGGATCATATTCTTAGGCTTATTCACAACACTACTCATTAGTTAATAATTATTGTTTTAATTTAACTTAAAAATGACTATCCTGAGCAAAGGACAAATTTTAGGTACTCACACTTTAAAAGTCAGAGACCATAAAGGAAAATCTTGACCCTGCACTATGGAATCCTATCTTTTTCATGTCATACTAATATTCATTTTTAAATACCCTGAACGTAAGTAACATTATTACCAATAAATAATTTAAAAAATATAATGACCATACAGAGTGACATAATTGACATTGGAGACTCAAAAAGGAAAGAGTGGGAGGGAGAAGAAGGATGAAAAATCACCTATTGGGTACAATGTACACTATTCAGGTGACAGGTACACTATAAGCCCAGACCTCACCACTATACAATTCATCCATGAAACAAAAAACCATTTGTACTCCCTAAATCTACTGAAATAAAAATAATAAAAGTTTTTAAAAAACAAAATAAAAAATACAATGACCAGAGAAGTACAATTGAAGACCATTTATTAGGTGCTGTTTCTCTAAAATCTCTTCACAAAAGTTAAGTGATTTTCACCAATGTTCTATCACTCTTATTCTATAGCAGATGGGATCCAAATTCCAATGGGTTAAAAGGTATATATATAATTTTACAAAGATATCCCAGAAAAATGAGTTTCAGTGAAAAAAAATAGGCATTTTAAAAATATGTATATTGATGGGACTGTAATACCTGTATTCAAAATAGCAATCACTTTCCAGAAACGCTGGAAGTCTTTCTTTTTTGATCCATTTAATACCTTGTTCACGACTGAGACACTATTGGAAGAAAGTGAAAAGAAGAAAAAAAAATGTTAAAGAAAATCACTTTTAAGACAATTAAGGCCTAAGCATGGGAGCAATAATGACCTCTAAGTGATAGCTAGATAGCTATCACTACGAGCCCTACTCCTACACCTTCTATTTGCACAAAAGAGATCAATAAGCCTGAACCACAAATGAGAGGTCACTTCTTGCCTCTGGTACCTCTTTAATTCTCTTAACAACTGTGTCAACTATTATCTCCACTTTTACAGATTAGCAAATTGAATCCAGAAAAGTTAAGTAACTTATTGAAGGAGGAGGAATGAGAAAACAGCCAATTGATCTCAATATTTTCACAGTCATAAAATGGGTTAAAAATAATCACAAACAGGCTGGGCGCGGTGGCTCACGCCTGTAATCCTAGCTTTCTGGGAGGCCGAGGCGGGCGGATTGTTTGAGCTCAGGAGTTCGAGACCAGCCTGAGCAAGAGCGAGACCCCGTCTCTACTAAAAATAGAAAGAAATTAATTGGACAACTAAAAATATATAGAAAAAATTAGCCAGGCGTGGTGGCGCATGCCTGTAGTCCCAGCTACTTGGGAGGCTGAGGCAGGAGGATCGCTTGAGCCCAGGAGTTTGAGGTTGCTGTGAGCTAGGCTGACGCCACGGCACTCTAGCCCGGGCAACACAGTGAGACTCTGTCTCAAAAAAAAATAAAAAATAAAAAAAATAATCACAAACACACATAAAAAACAAACAAAAAATCACAAACAGAAAAAGAATCACCAAGAAAACTTAGTAAGGCCACCAAGGTGACTGCAGGCCCCTTGTTCCTCAGCTTAGCAAATATTTTTGTTGTTGTTTTATATTTAACATCCTCAGGCACTCTCCTGGAGATGTGAAGATTAACAATTATAGTAGTGTTACAAGTGCCATGGTACAGAGGCTTCTCTGGGAGCCCACATGGGCACTAAACCCAGGAAAGTTTTCCTAGGAAACATGCCCTTCACTCTTCAACCTAAAGCACGACTAGCTAGGTTGAGTAGGAGAGCAGGAGAAGAAAGAAACAGTAAGTTTAGTACTACTAGGTCACAGAATGAGATTTGAGGGATGGAGGGAGGAAAACTGGAGAAGGAGGCAAGGGCCTGATTGTCAATAGTCTTTTAAATAGCATTAAGGAGTTCAGATTTTATCTTGAAGTTGTGAGAGCAATACAAAATTACTGAAGCATTATTGTTACTCATCCTAAAATATTTACTGACTATTGATTCTATTTTTTCTTATATTCACTTTTTTCAGAATTCTAAAGAATGCCAGTACCTTGGACACAAAACAAATGCTACTGATAAATAAAACAATCTATAAAATATATATCTCAGTGAGGTAGATGTGTCTGCATCTACATGGCTTCCATGGACTATCTGGTAAAGCAAGAGTTTTGGTATGATACTAGCATCAGAGTCAATGTACAGACCATTACTAACTCCCGTGGGGAAACTGAATGCCCACACAGTGGTGCTGCCAACATCTGATCAGCTGAAGGTCATGAGGGTGCGCATGTGCTGAACATTGCTGATATGTGGCACAAAGACGTTAGGCTCCCAGGATTGGAAAAATGGGCACACAATGGTTTTCTCCTGTTCATCAAAAAACATCCATTTGTCTTTACCAAACACTATCTTCTTTGTAACGAAAAAAGAAAACTATGGGAACAGCCAGCGCCTAATCAGCAGCATCTTGTTGACTGTCTTATTGCCTATTGGTGAGATCTGAAGGACATTTGGATCTTGAAGTTAAAAACGGCTCCACATATGCTATATGCTGACAACCATGCAGGACTCTCGAATTCTCGATAGCACTACATTGAATGTATCACAGAATTATACCAAATTATATATAAAGATCTGTATAAACCCTTGAGTAATTCTACAAGGTTGTCAGACTACTAGTCAGTTCATCAAAACTCACATTTGCCTAGTATTTACCTAATGAAGTTTACCTACAATTCATCCGCTTTGAAGTGTTTTTTCACCTATTTGACCTAAGAATGAAATAAAAAGAAAAATTTAAAAAATAATAAAATCAAAAATGGAACAAAAGTCTTTAGCCAAACTGCAAAAAAAAAAAAAAAAAATCCCTTCAAGGTTTTTTTAAAAGTAACTATTAATGAAGAGCAAAAACTTACAAAACAATCCTGATCAACCACAAAATAACTTAATAAGTACTTACAAGAAACACAAAAATAATTTACCTAAAATGAAAATTATTTAAATCTTAAATTTTTTTTTAAGTTGGTTGAGAAAGAAAAAGAGATGATCAAAAGGTTAGGGGAAACTGGCTTTAGGTAAACCATTCTAGAACTATTTCCAAGTAGCCATACACAAGTTGTCTAAAATGCCTATAGGATTAGATTAACAAAAATTATATTTAGATGTGCAAGGAAACAAAATAAAGCATTATTACCAGCCAATAGATCTTTTTGTTTAGTCGGATTTACTAATATATAAATTACATACAGTGAAATCCATCCTTCTTAGTATATGGTCCTACAAATTTTGACAAATGCATATAATCATGTAACAAGGAATACAATCAAGATAGAGAATAATTCCAAAACCTCCCAAATTTCCTCATGCCACTTTGTAGTCAACAATTCCCTCTAAGTTCAGGCTCTAGCAACCACTGATCTGTTCTATAGTTTTGCCTTTTCCAGAATGTCATATAAATGGAATCAACAGAGTATGCATCCTTTCATTCTGGTGTCTTTTATTTGGCATAAAGCATTTGAGACTGCTCTATGTTCTGTGTATCACTAGTTCATTCCTCTTCATTGCTAAGTATTAACATTCAAGTGTATGGATATGTACCACAGTTTGTTTATCCATTCCCCAGTTAGTAGAATTTGGATAACTTCCAGAATTTGTGATTATGAATAAAGCAACTACAGACATTCACGTACAGGTTTTTGTGTGAATATAACTCATTCTTTTAGGTAATACACATGAGTAGGACAGATGGGTGGCATTACATGTTTAATTTAGAAAGAACTGTTTTTCGAAATGGAATTCTCATCAACAATGTAAGAGTTCCGATTGCTATGCATTTGATTGCACTTCCCTTATGATTAAACATAATGAACATCTCTCTTTTCATGTGCTTATTATACTCATTTGTATATCTTCTTTGGAGAAATGTCTATTCAGATCCTTTGTACATTTTTTTTTTTTGAGACAGAGTCTGGTTCTGTTGCCTGGGCTAGAGTGCCGTGGCGTCAGCCCAGCTCACAGCAACCTCAAACTCCTGGGCTCAAGTGATCCTCCTGCCTCAGCCTCCCGAGTAGCTGGGACTTGCCCAGCTAATTTTTTCTCTATATATATATTTTTAGTTGTCCAGATCATTTCTTTCTATTTTTTAGTAGAAATGGGGTCTCGCTCTTGTTCAGGCTGGTCTTGAACTCTTGACCTTGAGCGATCCACACGCCTCGGCCTCCCAGAGTGCTAGGATTACAGGCGTGAGCCACCGCACCTGGCCCCTTTGTACATTTTTAATTGGATTGTCTATTATTGAGTTGTAAGAGTTCTTTACATGATCTAGATATAAGTCCTTAATAAATATATGATTTGCTAATATTAATATTTTCTTCCACTCTGTGGATATCTTTTCACTTTCTTGGTAGTATCCT